TTTTTTCTTTCTGTACATGTTTGCAGCACATAATATTTACATTATTTGGGTGAAATTGGTGCACATACATATTGATATCCCAATTCTTTTTAATGCCTTATCTGTTATGTCACTTCCCCTCTCTCCATCTCTTGATCCCTTTCCCCTTTGAGAATGAGCTATCTCCCTACTTCCTATTATCTATCTTTTATTTTGCTGTTTATTTTTACTTTGGATTTTTCTTTTTTTGTCCTTATTTATTTTTATTTTTTAATTTTTTTTCATAATTTTATTGAGAAACAAATAGCAATGAGACAGTTTCAAACCAAATTGGTAGGACAATTTCAATAATTAACATATAGTATACATTCTTCCTAGTGGTTATTTGCTGTACAAGATGTGGACATGGTATCCTATTTACAAACACTATTAGAATAAATCCCTCTATTCATTAAGAAAATGTAACTATATATCTATCCTAACCATTTTGAATACACAAATACAAAATGGACATTCCTCTGTATCCCCTTTTTTGTTTATTTCCGTCATTTGAATATTACAGGTGTGTTAACTCAGCAAAATATTCTAAAAGAGTCCAGTAGTCCATAATAGTATTGGGTCTTCCGCTTCACTGGCAATGTCAGAAACTGTTGACCTAAGTCTCCTACAGCTCAACATAACACCATAGCTTTACTTCTTATACTTTGTTTTTATACTTTTCTGCTAAGAGAAAAATGCAGATGTCAATGGAATAACCATTTCTGACAGGACTAAACAAAAAAGATGGGATACAAATGAAGGACCATTTTGTATGTGCATATGCAGAATAGTTGGGATACATATATAGCTGCTTTCGCTTGATTCAATGAGAAGGGTTTGTGCTAATGGGGTTTGGATGGGATATCCTGTCTGCGTCTTGTACTATGGATAACCACTAAGAAGATAACAATGTACAGTGTATAAATTGTTGAAACTATCTTATTAATCGGTTTTGAAACTGTCTTATTGCTACTTGTTTCTCAATAAAATTTTAAAAAGAGAAAAATGCAATATTTTAGTGTGCATGTCTGAGGCCATTTATGCTTGTGAGGCCATTCGGAACCTTCCACTGTTGTTCCGAATGTAAACTACTTCACCCAATATGGAAATAAGTATGGAGAGTTCTCACAAAACTAAAACTAGAAATTCCATTTGATCCAGCTTTTCCGCTTTTAGGTATCTTCCCCAAAAAGTTCAAGTCATCATATTGAAGAAATACACACATACACATGTTTAAAACAGTGCAATTCTTAACAGTTACACCATGGAAGCATCCAATATGTCCAGCAACAGATGAATGAATAAAGAAAATGGGCTATTTCCACACCATGGAGTACTACTCTAACATAAAGGGAGATAAACAAGTCAGTCACTAGTAGGAAAACGGATGTACCTTCAGACCTTACTGTTAATCAGACACACACACTTAACTATCATTACATTTTAAAAAGTGTTTTCAAAAGAGGAGTTACTTCCCAAATAAGAAATATTTTACTCAATTGCATCTGGTCTCTCTTCCTCTAATTGTGAAACTGATTGAGGTTTCTAAGGCTCTCAAGGGACCCCTACTTACATCCCTATGATTATTATTATAAAGAAGAAAAACCCAATACCAGGAAATGGTTAGTTGCCTATGGAAAATATGCATTTTCAAAATATTTCCTTCTAAAATTGTAGAGGTGGGAAATCTAGTAGGAAAATGTTCAACAAATGCGGGACTGTCCTGCTACAAGGTTGTATATGGTTAGATTTCTGGACTTATGTGTAAACATAATAATTATATAATTCTTTATGCCTATTTTTAAAATATATTTTAATTTTTTAAATGTTTTTTCACCATATCCTGCAGGGACTTAAAGTTCAATATATCAATACTTGATGAAAAACACTTGTTCCTTGTTATGCCTAAGATGTTTGATATTCAGAAAGATAGTGAGGTTAAGCTTAACAGCCTAGGTTGTATGGTAATAACAATAAGCTTCTCTTCTGGAGGGTTAACAACCTAACTTTGCAGACCAAAATTAGAAAAAGGAGGGCCACAAGGAAAGCCAACATTTTGTCCCTAGCCTTCCTAAGGTCAATTAAGACTCAGGACATATGACAACTTGTACTGTAATGTCATGTAACTCGGTAGTGTCCCAAATTTTCTGATCAAGGAGATCATGGGGCCAAAGAGGAAAGTGATCAATGATATAGACTGTGCCTAAGGAGAGTCACAAGGAGAGAAAACATTCTCTCAAGCTTTCACAGAGAGCACATTGGCTAAGCAATGGCCGTGACTCATCCACATGGCTGACACTGACAAAGGTTCTACAATCTGAGGTACAGGACATCAGGAGAAATCCTGAGGAGATTTGACTGACCTTATCAGACCCAAAAGCTACAACGCTTGTTGCATAGGTCTTGCTTTATCTTGATCTTGACCATCCAGTAGAAAAGTATAAAAACGAAGTATAAGAAGTAAAACTATGCTGTTATGTTGAGCTGTAGGGGACTCAGGTCAACAATTTCTGACACTGCCAGTCAAGAGGAAGACCCAATACTATTATGGACTATTAGTCTGTTTTAGAATATTTTGCTGAGTTAACACACCTGTAATATTCAAATGATGGTACTAAACAAAAAAGGAGATACAAACGAATGTCCTTTTTGTATCTGTCCATTCAAAATGGTTAGGATGGATATATAGTTACATTCTCTTAATGAATAGAGGGATTTGTTCTAATAGTGTTCATAAATAGGATATCATGTCTGCATCTTGTACAGCAAACAACCACTAGGAAGAATGCATGCAGTGTGTTAATTATTGAAACTGTGCTACCAATTTGATTTCAAACTGTCTCGTTGCTATTTGTTTCTCAATAAAATTATGGGAAAAAATGTTCAACAAATAATTATATACAAATCATGAGATGTTATTCGTAGCATGAGTATTCATGGTCCCCTTCTCATTGCGACTCCAGTAAAACAAAAGCTTCAAGAAGTATATAAAAAACTAAAATAGAGTTGAAGACTTAAATAGGAAAAGGGAAGATGAACTATGAAGGAGGATAAAAGCAGAAAATTACAGATAGGAGGCCTCTCATTGAGTTTAAAGAGTAGGATCCGTGGCAGTCATCCCTGTGGAGGAGTTTGGGAGTGGTGGGGAGTATAGATCTTTAAGGGGTTTAACTGCTCTTTAGGCATCTGTGCCTCATTTATTTAGTTACATGTGAAAATATATGCATATGTGAGTTACTTTTTATTTTAGTGAAAGTCCAGTTAGAGAAACAGAAACCATCATATTTCAACAGAGGGAATTTCATGTCAGGAAATGGTTGCATGGTTGATGGAAAAGTGGAGAATCCCAGAAGTGGCTGCAGAAAGATGAACCACCGGAAGTGGTTACCACGCTCAGAGTTAGAGAGGAACTTGGACGAAGTGGTATAACTCTAACTCAGCAGCCAGGGCCATCTGGTGATAACAAGCCCTACAAGTGTTAGCCAGCAGGCACTTATGGTAGAGAGAGGTAGTGAACAGTGGAAAGTGGAATTCAATAGAGATTCTGTCACTCATTGCACTCTGCATTCTCTCTTGCTCCCCATCCTCCAATTTACCTAAATGCAGAGTAATCAGAAGGCCAAAGAGGCTGACAAATGTAATTATTTCTAAAACAGAATAGGACAAAGAAAGCCTAAGGACTAACAGAGCAAGGAGGCACATAACTTGCACATGTTTTGATTGTTCACATATGTTTCTTTGAATTGCTATATTTGTGGAATGGAACCAAGAACAACTTCCATTTATGTGAGTTACATGTGTTCTAATTGCTACAGTCAGAGTTGAGTATTTCTTGAATATTATCAAGTAAGAAACCATACTGCTTTACTACTTGCCATACTTCCATAGTTTATCCTAGGTAGTTTGCATATAGCAATCAAAAGAGTTTCTCTTTATTCTCATCCACTACTCCAATTTGCTTTTTAATCTCTCTTTCAATTATAACTATTGTACAACTGTTCTTGTTAATTAGCTAATTATATCTCATAGTAGAGTTATGTTCTCACTTTACTCCCTCTTGCCTATCTGGGAAGCAGCCAGAGGGTATCAGTGCTGCATCTAGTTTGCATATCTGCTATCTGTGACATGATTTAGGTTTATACATTTAACATAGAAGATATCATGACTGCCTGTGAACATGATTGTTGTCTGAACATTTTGGTATTTTTGTTAGTTTCATTTCCTCTAATTTTATGTTCAGTGATTTAGGGTGGGGTTTGACACAGTCAGGCTTATTTTCCCCAGATATCCAGATTAAAAATCACATTTTTGGGCTCTCAAACCCCAACTCCACAATTGTCTGGTTGTGTGACTATATCAAAAGTAATTTAACTTCTCTTGGTCTCAGTTTCCTAATCTATAAATGTAATCATAATAGAAGAATATACTTTCTAAGGATCAAGTTATGAGACTGAACTGAATTGTAATGTATGCATGTGCATGTATGTGTCTGTGCATATACACACATATATTTATATGTATGTTTCAACTCACAGATGCATATGTGCATACACATATCTTGCTTGTAAAATTGACACGTGGTAAGAATCCTATAAATATCAACCATCAGTAATGTAACATTTTTCAATGAGACTACATATTTTACCGTAAAAGTCTTTCAAGTCATATAAAACCCATTTAATGTGTTTTATCCTGCACTAGGAAATGGCTAGTTGAGTAACATGAAAATTGCAAGCAGATAACGAATTAGTAAAATAGTTCACTGCATAAAATACTTTTGATAAATTGCATTATTTGTCTTTGTTGTAGAATTTGGTTTCATTTTCCAATTTGTTTAGTTGTATTTGGATCATTATAAACCTTTCTCTTGTAGTTTTTGTGGTTTAAAGATTTATATTTGTTGTGGAACTAGACTTCTCAGTTGACCAATGATTAGCAAATTTCTGATAATAGAAAAGGAAACATATTGCCCCAAGGCTTCTGTTTTCATTTCCTCATGGGGAGAAGAACCACGATAAAGAAGAGCAGACACAGCACACTGCAGCTCTGTCACCATGGGGAACTGGGCTGTGAATGAGGGGCTCTCCATCTTTGTCATTGTAAGTATCAACAAGAGATAAATTATGAATTCTCTGAAATGTCTGACTTCTCCTAAAAGCTAAAATAGCAAAAGTGTGTCTTTTTTTCTTTGAGAAATTGATTTGCTGTGTGAATAAACATGTACTTGAGGGATTTTTGTTTGTTTCTTTGAGAAATTGGTTTATTGTGTGAACAGACATATATTTGACTGAGCACATTCCTCCAAATTCCTTAATGGAAAGAGAGTATCTGAGTGCTCCTTTCTTCTAATTGATTTCTGTGTTCCTAGGAATACTAAGTTACCCAGCATTTTGCAGAGAGAATAAAAAATATTTGAGACTGACACTCCTTAACTCTGAATTGTTTATTAATTACTCAGAGCAAAATTTCCCTAGTTTTAATGTGTTTGACTACTTTAAATGTAGTCAGTTGAAACTTTATATCATTTTCTAAATAACAAATAAGAATAACAAATAACAAATATAGGACTAACTCATGTATGGCTCATGCGTGAGAAATTGGCCTTATTTCAAAAATGACACTAAAAGTAAACTTCTCAGATTTTTTTTCAGAACAAGCACTGTCTCTGAGGTCTAAACTTCAGTCGCTTATGAATTTATAAAATTCAAGAGAATTTAGATTACTTATCCAGGTTTATACATATATCATCTATTTTCCAAAAAAACCCCTTGCAAGTAAAGATATGGGCACTTTCAAATAGGCATTAATTTCTATGCTTTTTAACATAAATAATATAGCTAAGCTCTTAAGATGGTGGTCTCAGAAAAGCACTTCTGGACAGATTGGATAGAAAGATTTCTAAATATATTTTTCACAGAACCAGTGGAAATATGATGTTTAAAAAGCACATATATGAATTGAACTTTTGTAAGAATTTATCATGGAATATACAGGGATTTTTGAGTTTTCTTTCCTATAGAAATTTTCTTTCTGAGAAAAAAATAAGTAGCTCAATTAAAATAAAAACAAACATTTTATTATTGAAAATATACTTTATGCCCTAGCCAACATTTTAATGCAATTCAGAACTCTGCTGATTTGAAACTATACAATTGATTTACCACTATTTGAAGACCAGATTATTCTCATAGCAAGCAAATAAAATTATACTTTTAGCTCTCAGCACAATTTTCCCCAGAAAATTACCTCTGTACTTGAAATTGCAGATCTAGCTCAGAAAGTCAAACTTAGGGCTAAATGTCAAGGTCAGGAAATGCAGATATTGCTTTAGCACCCTCTTCTTTGTAAATTGAGTTTTCTCAAGAACTGTGGACATTTAATAGCTGGTATTAGCAATAACTAGTAATTTAGTAGCTAAGAAAAGATCCCTGTTGCATGGAAGGTAAAAGACTTACTTGGCAGTATCACCACTTGATAAAGCTAGCATTTGGAATGAGATGAAAGGTCACAATCTGTAAAAATCTTCCTTTGACTTTAAGTCCTATGTCCCTCAAACCCTTGCTCATGCTCAATATTGCATTGTGCAAAATGTAAGTAGAACTTTTCAAGTAGAATAAAAAGCTTGGCTTCTAGCTTTTGAGACATGCACAAGCTGGGATGGGTGCTGTGTGGGGCACAGAGGTGATAGTGAAATGCAGTGTCTTACTGGTAGGCAGGTGGATAGCAACACATTCACTCCCCTTCTCATTTTATTGCTCAACTAGTGTTATTTACCTGTCTCAGTAGAAGAAAAACAGGTGATGAGAAAGAAAGGAGGGAAGTTAGAGTGGCAATTTCACATATGGGCTAAGTAGTAAAGCAGTCATACCAAGCAATACAAGGTGGGAAGGTTAATTATGGAAAGTTGTAGTGACGTTGTTGCAGGAAAAAGCTGGCCTAAACTGATCCCATCCAACTTTGTATCTACCTTTGTCAAAGGTTGGACTTAGGGAAGTTCTGATCTCATAACTCCAATCTTGTATAGAATCTATTTATTGAGATGGGGAAACTTCAGGCAATTCTTTCTATCTGTGCAGCTAATGTGGCTGGGGATGAACGTCTTCCTCTTTATCCATTACTACAAGGTTTATGATGAACAACCAAAGTACTTTTACACTAGAAAACTCCTTGGGGTAAGTATAATTTTTGTTTCATGTAAAATTGGCTAGTTCTCATTTCTAGTCAGATGTTCTTTTTCTTACTCCTTCTAATATTTTAAACAAATATGCTAACCAATCCAAACAATACCATAAGTCTTACTCCCTCTGTTATAGTTTCATAGGCTGGCCAGTGTAACAAACAAAAATGTGGCAAAGGATCCCAGAGGGATCCTTTTTCTCCCAGAGCCATGTGTCATTGTTTCACTTAAAGGAAAGATCTAAGACTGACTCTGAAATGAATGGCTAGGTTGCAATAATCTCAACCAGGGATGACATATGTGGGACAAGTTAAATTTTCTAAGTCATCTAGTCCTTAGTATTTTAATGTCTGGAGAACTCTGCTTCTGGTACATGTTATAAAATCATTTTCATCAAATCAACCTCTCCTCTCGGTACATGTGGAGACATTGAGGAACTTATTCAAATTCCATACACATTCAGTAGACCATCTTGAATTTCCTTAGGCCCTTTAGTAATCTCAGTTTCCTTGGAACTGGCTGTCCAAAATGAAATAATTGCAATTGCATCTGACTCCACAATGTCATTTGTTACATCATGGTTACCATGAATTAATTACTCAATATTAATTATGCCATATATTGTGAATCATATGTATAGATAATTATGAAACATATCTAAAATTCATTATTAGAATCTTTGTTAATTTATCCACACTGATGACCTCTCCTTTCAAAATATCAACCTTATACATTACAAAACTAATAATTATAATGTCAAAGCAAAACATCATACCAACTTTAGTTATAAAGTCAGTCTATGTGCTAACAAAGTATGTTAAATCACTCAAAGTTTCAGTTTGACACTGAACTCTAGTTAATGATATACATGCTTAAGTATTTAGGAGAAAAGTAACTGATATCTGCAACTTTTAAATGTACCAGAAAAACCCACAATGAGTTGATGGATGTATAGAGGAATGGAAAGATGAATATGTGATAAAGCAAGCATAGTAAAATATAAAAGGTAGAATATGGGAGATACATAAACATGTATTCAAAGTAAATTTATTTCAGTTTTTCCTTATATTTGCAACTTTTCATAATAAAATGTTAAATCGGGTTAAAGGGCTAGTTTCATAGTAAAACTAAGTGTCCAAACAGGCCCTAAAAGAAAACTCTCAGTTCTGAAAGACCTTCCTCTAAAGATTGGGATGTATGGTCTCATGCTGAGAATCCTGGGGGAGTATGGATGGGGTCATTCTATGTACACAGGAATCACTCAACTCTCTATCCTGCTTCTAGAAAGCTCTGGCCTTGGCCAGGGCTCCTGCAGCCTGCCTAAATTTCAATTGCATGCTGATCCTGCTGCCAGTGTGTCGAAATCTGCTGTCCTTCCTCAGGGGCTCCAGTGCGGTAAGAGCAAACATTTTACAGAGTTCTTCAAATTTGCAAAGTCAGCATGTAAAATGGCCTTCCTTAGAGAAAGAAAACTAATAAAATCAGAAAGCATGCAAACATATAATAAGTGTGTATATGGACAGATCTTTATGAAGCTGATGTGCTATTTGGAAATTAAGCATTCAATACAATAAAAATTATGTTGCAAAAATATATTTGAGTATAATATTCCAAACTGATAGAGTCAGTGTGCAAAATCACACTAATGAAATGTAACTAAAAACTGTTGGCTCTGTGGAATTAAAGAGAACAAAGCTTTCCAATTGTTAAGGGTTCACCCTCACTTTAAAACTTCAGTGAATCCCTAAATGTAGTATAACAGAAGACAAAAAAGTCAAGTAGGAAGAATATCTGTAGCCTATAAAATAGAATACAAATTTCAAGGGCTGGCCAAATAGCTCAGTGGATTAAAGCACCTGCAAGCAGGCACAGAGGCTGGGGGTTCGATCCCCAGGCCTGCTGTGCCAGCCCTGCCCCTGCGGCGCACTGAGATGGCAATTGAGACTGGGCATGGTGGCTCACACTTGGGAGGCTGTAAACAGGTGGATCACTATGAGTCCAATCTCGTAGTGAGATCCTGAACACCCTTTAGACTCCTCCCTAAAATACAAAAAAAAATGAGTATGAATTTCTTATTGGTATTATACAAAGAAAAATCAAGACACAGTGTTCATACATACTCAAATATTATACAAAGCAAAATATTATGGGTCCTTCAAAATTCATAAATTAAGACTAGGCAGGGAATCAAATAAAGAGTGTAAGTAGGAGAAAGAATTTATTTTAGGTGGAGTAGAGTATTCTGAGAGCTTTCAAAGTGTAAGTGGCATTGAAGATAAGCATAAATAAGCATCACCGAAGTGTAAAGGAAAGCAATTCATTATACGTGGAGAAAGAAAATGTCATGGGCAAAAGCACGAGAAATGTAAGAAAACCTCCGTCTTGAAATCCACTATCAGCAAGACTTGTGGATTCTCTTTAGATTTGTTTGCCATTCTTGACCATTGCAAAGAGGGCAGCTGGGATAAATTAGATATTTGCCTGGTGTGGACTAGTCTCCTTATCTAACAGTAACTAGAAGCATTTTTTGTAATTTTAATAAAATGTATATGTGTTTCATAAAATAAGTTTTTAAAAATGCATATTATATAGAAGTCACTTATTGGGGACAGCAGAAAGCAAATTATTTCTATGAGAAAATAGGGATTGTATAGAGCAGTTTTCTGAAATAAGGCTATGGAGGAAGGCTGAATTTTGCTGATAAAGCACATCCTTTAATGCAGACCTAAGGACCTACTTTTTCATTTTCCAGTTTAAATATTTGTGGGGAAGAAAGTGAACTAAACTTTAAATGACAAGTGTAACTTGCTTTTAACCCTGCCTTGTGTTTCCTAGTTGCACTCAATTCACGTTGGTCAGAAGGAGATTTCTAAAGGACATACAATACTCAATTTACTAACACAGGATCAGTAAGCTACAATTAGCTTCTCTTTCTTACTAACTATTGACAAAATATGTTATTTCATCTTGAACTTACTACAAAAATTGCTCTCTCCAGTCTAATTTTAAGTAAAAGTTGAAAGACAAGATGTAGCTCAGTAATTGAGCTCTTGCATAGCACGCTTCCGAGCCTAGACTCCATCCTCAGCACTGCAAAGAATACATATAAATGCACATGGGCAAAATAACTGGTACTTTACTTCAGTAGAAAACAATAAAGGAAAAATGACATGACTTTCTTCTATAAAAGTCTGTGGAAAAGTTCCTTTATTTAAGTCATGAATTTTGTTACACAATCTGTCTTGCAATCTGATGGCCAAACAAAACCAAAAGCTAACAACAACACTTAGTATTAGACATTGATTACAAGGATTTCCAAACAAGCTCCATGACCTAAGAAGCCACAGAGCTGAAATTTCACTGGGTCGAAAGTTTGATTGATGAGCCACTTACTGTATAATGTTTGATATAGTGTAGGTGCCCAGTGAACATTGGCTGAACACCACCAGGTTTTTTGTTTTTACGGAGACACAATTCTTTATTCTCTCTTCTCCCATTCAAACACTCTATTTAGAGGAAGCAAAGCCTGAGCAACAGGCAGTGTTTGCACCAGTTAAGAAACCCTTGTTACCCCATAGCACCAGCTTGCACTGCCATTGAGTTCATGGCCGATGAGCAGTGCATTTTGTAATGTGATATCTTAGGCTTTCTTAGCTTTGAGAACCTCTCAAAGCAGTGAAGCAAGGCTATATGTAACCAGACAGATTATATATATATATATATATATATATATATATATATAATTTCTTTTACAGTCAGAGAGAAAATGTTCTTTCTAGGCCTCCCAACCTGAAAAGGAAACTTTGAACATGACACTTCATTTTTTCTTACTGGGATTAAAATGAGTAAATGTGCTGTGATGCATGTTGGAAAGCATAATAGCTTTACTAGAATTCAACTCATGAAATCTGCCCATAAAGACAATGAGTTGGGAATGAAATTAAATGAAAGTTTGGGGACTCAAAACTAAATAATTGTGCTCCTAGAGCCTGTGCACTTTTCTGTGTGACACAAATCACTTGAAACTGCTCTACTGCTATATTTCAGTCTTAAAGAATCATCACCAGTGAATGAGCATGCCAGATAACCTAGGTTGGAAATGACAAGGTAACGTAAATTCAAGGTTTATTAGTAGAATAGTGTGCCAAACAAACAGCCACAGAACTTCTGTCCAATTTCTAGAGGTTTGAATCATTCAGACCTGTTTGCAGTCCTTTTGGTTACCTGAAGAAAAAAGCCCCAAGGTTGGCCCTCACCCAAGTCCACCTCCAGAAGGCTGGGCTAAAGGCTGTCAAGGGCAGAGCTCAGCATACAGAAATCCCATAGGAACACTTAATAAATCCACTTTGATGCATAGAAACTAATTCTGAGCTTGATGATGGTCCTAGTCCTAAGATCAGAAAAAATCAGAAACATGAAAGAATGAGGTCTTATTTGTTACCTTATATAATCGGAGTCAAAAGGTCTCATTGTGGCTCTTTCTGTCACCATTTGGCACTGTAGATTGAGTCCCTTAGATCTCTGTTGCATAGATGCTTTTAGCTCAAAAATAGTTCAAATGTGCAAATACAAGAACTAATATGCACTCTAGCTTAGTGATAGAGCACTTACCCAGCATGCATAAGGCTTTGAGTTTAGTCTCAAGTATTATGAAGGAGGAGGAGGAGGGGGAGGAGGAGGAGGAAGAAGAGGAAGAGGAAGAAGAAGAAGAAGAAGAAGAAGAAGAAGAAGAAGAAGAAGAAGAAGAAGAAGAAGAAGAAGAAATAGTGACAAAAGAAATAAGAGGGAGAGAAGGAGGAGGAAGAGGAAGAAGAAATGAATAATATACTTTTAGTAAAATTATGTTGATTGATTAAATTTATCAATTATTGAATTGACAGCTAATAAATTATTTGTGTCATCCATGTGCTAAACACTAGAGATACATGAAAATAAAATTACAAACGGATGAGTCACAATCTTAAGGAGATTAGGGTCTTCTGGAAATGATAGAGAACAAAAATATGATTTCAAAATTATACATAATCTTGCAAATATATTGTCTTTTGTATTTACCAAATATACTGCCACAAGGTGTGGATATTACAATTGGTCTCTTTGCCTCAGTTCTGTAGAAGCTTTTTCCATTTCCTGAAACTTGTATATAAACATCTGAATCAGATATCTTAATGGTATGTGTGGCAAGAACAAGTGTACATAAAATAGAGCTACAGAAACTCATGCTACACCCCTCTAAATACACACTTCTTTTATTTTATTTTGACTTCTCATTTTTTGAACTTCATGGTTTCATTACAGCATAGAAATTTGCTAGTGTCTCAATAATGTCCCTTGCATTGGAATGATAGTTTGTTGAAGTTGGGCAAGGATCTTGCTGACAGTAACTGAGAAATTTCCCTTTAGAAGGCAGTGGTAGACAACAAAGAGGTAGTGCAGTCAGTGAGGAAGCTATGGGACATGATGGCAGATTGGGTAATGTCTAGATGGCTAGTAATAACTCAAAAGTGATTCAAAGTGTGAGAGTAGTGTCTACATGGTAAAGAACAGAAAGGTCCTGGGCAATCAAAGGGAGTTGGAATCCTTCCTTCCCACTCTACCAATACTTCATCTTGCCCTGTTTTCATGAAATAGTGAAATCTATTTCCTGAAATACCAGTATCAGCGTGACATGTGACTTTTTCTTTGGATTTGTTCACTGTTCTGAGCACACCAAAGAAGTTATCCAGGAGAAAGTCAGGATTAGTGTTCTGGTGGGACTCATTCCCCTGGCCCAAAAGTAGCATCTGTTTACTTTCAAATTTATTTAGATGTGTTTTGTAGCAACTAGCTTCTACATATTTCCTATTAAGATAAAACACAGTATTGCTGAATGTACATAGCATTTCTCAATCACGTATCTCCATTGTTCTCACATTCAGTTTATTTTCTCTTAACGGTTAATTTCAAAAGCTGTTAAGGGACATCAGCATCTATTATTGTCTTACATTTTTGCTGATGTGCATATTACAACTTGACACCAGGAATATAAACATTATATACTGCAAGTATGTACAAAAAAGGAAGATTAAGGGGTGAGGAGGGAGGGAAAGGAAAGAAAAGTGTATAAAAACAGGAATTAAGATGCGCTATGTACATGTACCAACTTCACACAAGAAATGTAAACATTGAATACTATGCCTATGTTCTAAAATAAACTAAAATAAAATTTTAAACATGAAAACAAACAAAATGGTAGCATTATGGAAACAGTATAGGAACTTCAACAAATCCACAGTAATCTTTTGATTAACTATACAGTGAACTTTTCTCCCAGGATTCAAAAATGGTTTCAAGGAAGTAAAATCCTGAAAATAAAATAGCGTGAAAAATGTAGAAATGGGAGTAAATATACTTCTGTGGGTTTTCAAGTGTATTCATTTTCTGTTCTAGTGTAGTCAGGACACAATTCATTTGTGCAACCAAATAATTATTAAAGAATTTTCTGGGGCTGAGGAGATAGCTCAGTAGAATAAGCCCTTGTCTGGCATGCACAAGGTCCTGAGTTCAATCCTCAGTTCTGAAAAGAAAAAAAAAAGAATCTTCTAAAGTACATAATATAATGCTCTTCATGTAGGAACTTTGCTCCCTAGATGGGTAGCTGAACCATATTAGCTAAAAAGTTAAATGATGATAGAAAATAACATCAAATGCTTACTAAACACCACTCAACGAATCTATATAACAGGGCTATGAGGTAAAGTTATCTACAATAACTGTACCGGTGGGACACTGAAGTCTGAATACATTGTTTGGTGGGACAGAGCTGAGTCTCAGAGCTGGGAATCTGACATAGGTATATCTGAAGGCAAAACCTGTACTCATAAGATTCAGAGAAAGGGCATTAGTAAGATTAAAAAGCAGTACTGAATTACATGTGAGTACAACCACGTTGGATTTATAAGATTCAGAGAAAGGGCATTAGTAAGATTAAAAAGCAGTACTGAATTACATGTAAATCCAACGTGGTTTCACCACTTCAGTAAGGACTATCTTAGTTACAAATTACCACAAATTCACTGGTTTGAGACACGCTTCATTTATTAGCTTACAAGTCTAGCACCTGTGCTTGGCTTCTCTGCTCAGATATCATGAGATTGGAATCAAGTGCATTCTAGATTGGAATCAAGTGTATTCTGGGTGATTTCTCATATGAAAACTCTGGGTAAAACCATTGTCCTCTTTCAACCTCCTTCTTGATGACAGAATTTAGTTCATTTCACTTGTGAGGCCTGATGTTTCTTTCTTTGTTGGCTGTCATCTAGGGACCAATCTAAGATCCTAGAGGTCCTTCCTATTTCTGCCCTCTGTCTTCCTCTACTTTTAAGCCAGAAAACAACATAAAATATTTCTTTGTATTTGAAGTCCTGAGTCCTTCCATCCTGGATGTCTAGACCTAGATTTAATAAGCTTATGTGATTAGGTTAGGCTCAGTAGATCTTGGGACTCTAATTACCTCTGCAAAATTCTTTTTGCCATAAAATGTTGCAAAATCACAAAAGTGATTTCTCATCATTTCCTAGGTCCCATCCAAATGCAGGAGGAGAAGTTTACATAAGGTCATTATAGGTTATCCTAGAATCTTCATATCACAAAGATGTTTAGATGCTGTGAAGGACTATGACAATTTAGAAACAGGAAAAATTTCCTTAAAATTGTAAACAATATGAAGTACTAAAATAACTTTTAGCATTTGAAATAAGGACAGAACATTCAAAAATGATTACCAGGCATAAAGTTATTTCAAACAGTAAACCCTTCTTTTGAGGGCTTGAATCAATACTCTACTCCCCTGGGAAACAGTGTCATAGCCAATGCATTCATGCACCACTATATTCCTTAATCCCTGGCAATCCCAATACACAGGGCAGCTAGCTTCTGCACAACCACTCTGTGATGGGGGATTTTCATGTTACTTGTATGAGAATTAAAAACATACTAATTGAGCTGGCTATGTCAGCTAGTAACTGACCTGGGGAAGATGACTATGTTTCTCCAGGCTGTTTTCTCATCTGTCAGATTCATAGAAGGAGAATATTTGTAGAACTGTCATGAAAATGAAATCATGTGTCAAATATCTGACACATGAAAAGTCTTCTTTTTCTTCTATTTTTCGGAACTGGGGATTGAACTCAGGCCCTTGCGCTTGCCATGGAAGCACTTATTCCACTGAGCCATCTCCCTGGCCTCTGGACAGCCTTCTTATAAACAATTTCTTTAATTATTTAGTACATGGTTTACAGGGTCTCACTACACAGATCGGACTCATAGTGATCCTCCTATTTTCTGCCTTCCAAAAGCTGGGATTACAGGCTCCAACCATCACATCCAGTTTCAGTCGCCATCTCAGTGCGCCCTGCAGGGTTTGGCTGGCACTGCACACCAGAGATTGAACCCTAGTCCGTGTGTATGCCTAAGCAGGTGCTTTAATCTGTTGTATTAACAATTTCAATGCCATTCTTTCTCTTTTAACCCAAAGTGCTGCTCAACAAGAATTCGAAGACAATTGGATAGGAACCTCACCTTTCATAAAATGGTGGCATGGATGATAGCACTTCACACTGGTAAGCTTATTATGATAATTGAAACTGTAAAGAAAATGGACCCAGAGTATCCTCTATTCTTTGATACCTAAGTTCAAGATATCAGCCTTTACACGTCAATTTTGTTGTTATCATACCTGATATGTTTTTTGAATGGGTTTTACTTCTATTCAAAAGTATTCATAATTCTTTCAGTTATTCCAATATTAGTGTTTATGTCTTTATTTCTTAAAGATATTATTATCCTAGTATCATCCCATAAAAATACCAATATACCAGGAGAGAAGTCAATCCTGGTGTTTTCACCTTTTCCCACACTTTTTAGCATGAAAAATATTTGTTAGTCCACCTATGATAACTTCTACTCATTTTTCAAACTTGCTTGGATGCACATGTAGACTTGTACATTTTTTGCCATAAATCTTCTGGAACATTAGCCCCAAAACTGAGCAATAAGAAAGCCCTTATCAGATAAACATCTTCAGTATTATTATGATTTCATTATCATGTGATACATACAGTAAGTATATGTAAGCATAACATTATATGTTGTTATTGTAATTATTCAAGTAGTAATGTCAGCACAAGGAGTGATATGTCTATGACATTTAACCAATCTCCACTGACTCACTTAACAGATAGTTCATGTGTCAGTCAACAGACATGCATAGAAGTGAACACAGCAAGCTTTAATCTGCCTGAAGTAATTCAACCCTAACCTGACTAAAATACATTTAGTTGACAAGTGCTTACCTGATTTCCTCTTTTCCTACCACATCATGCCAGTTTTTTTTTGTGGCAAAATGAAATAATTACATAGAAACTTATGATCTAATTATGTTGGTATTATAGTATATTGGTTAAGAACACAGACTTAGTCTGCCAAACTCAATTTGATTCTTAAATTCTGTTACTTCCTGGATTAATGGCCAAGGGCAAGATCATGATGTAACCTATGCCCTAGTTTCTTCAACTGTAAGATGATCTAATTTTAATTGTACCGATATCAGTAAGTATAAGTATTAAATAATTGAAAAATACTAACAGCGCCTGCAAACAGTAATCCCTAAATAAGTGATTGTGAAATAAAGTATGTTATTTGTTCTTTTACTTTAGACCTTTATAGGTAGATGGATGTAGCTTGAGACCATACTCGTTAGTCAAATAGATCACACTCACAGATGTAAGCATCATATTGTCTCCCTGTTTCCAGAAACTGTTTTTCTAAAAGTTTCTTATGGTCACTATTTTGTGTCCAGTTCAGTCATCTCTGGAGGTAACTATAGAGTCAGGTAAATGGGTTCACTATTAGGCATACATCACAGAAGAGTTTTCTTGTTTGAGCACACATAGAGAGGAGGGAGGGAGAAAGGGAGGGTGGGAAGGAGAAAGGGAGAGAGAGAGAATGAGAACATATTTAACAACCCTCAGAGACTGAGGACATTTTGTAGAACCTTAGAATCTTTGAATCTTTAGGTGTATATAAAAGAATATCTTTATTTCACAAATGGGAAAACCAAGACCAAAAAGAGTAAGTTGTCTTCTCACAATGATACAAGCAGGAAGGACCTTACCTATTAGAATCAACTTGCCTGTCTGGTATGCAGCGCCAGTTCTCATTTATAAGCATTCTAAACCATCTTAGTATCTCCCTATTACTTCTGTAGTTAGAACCCAGATTACAATAGTGTGTGATTATTTTCATGCTCTTTCTTTCTCTTCTCTGCCCTCTTTAGCAATTCATACAATTGCACATCTATTCAATGTGGAGTGGTGTGTGGATGCCCGAGTCAACAATTCTGACCCTTATTCAATAGCACTCTCCAATATTGGAGACAAAAAGGGTGAACATTATCTCAATTTTGCTCGAGAAAGAATCAAGGTAAGCCTATCATTTCCTAAATAAGGTGTTCTTTATACTGATAAAATAAAAGACTAGAAATAGTTCTAGAATTACTATTTTATTTTTTTCTAAGGGGTGAAAGAACAAAATGGGGCTAAATCTGTAGTAGGTAAACAAATAGTCATCACTGTTTGTTGTCTGGCCTCACTTATGATTTCAGAACAGTTTTGTTTTTATCTCACCATCATAGTCACAACGTAATCTCTCATCTGACATTTTTTTCTATGAAATTACTTATTTGAATTAGGGATCACCCTGCCCATGTGTTACTGTCAGGTTAGCTACAAGCCAACAGTTGTTGGTGATGCTGTTGTTCTTTCTTACCTGCAACACCTCAGGGGTGACCTGTGGCTACTAACAGTCATTTCTTGATGCACTGGGAGTAATTAAGCAGTTTTTCCAGAGTAGCCATGAGAGTATACAAAGGAAAGGCTTTCTTCCATCTCATTTGTTGTGAAATCTTCCTGAAGAAGCTCCAAGCCATTTTCATCTGCTCATTCTCTTAGAAAGATAGCCAAATCACACTAGTATACAAACATATTTCCTTTCATTGAGAAAAGATCACAACAGAAGAACTTTAGTTTTGGTAAAATTATCATCTTTGAGTTGACATAGGAAAAATTTTTCTGATTTGCTTAGGGACAGAATTAAATAAGTATCAAAACTTACATATTTTCCAAAGATATTCTGGATTAGTTTTCTTTACATTTTTTGTTGTTTGCACAGATATACATAGGCTGTTTTCACTTTCCATGACCTATACCCCATACCTTGTATTTCTTCCTCCAAAAGCTATCCAGGGACTAACTAGCAACATGTTGTCCACAGGCTGAGATCTGAAAGGACGTGACTGGTTTACCTCTCCCAGGCAGTCCTTTAGGCACTTACTTATTAGCGTAGGCCTTGAAAGCCCAGTCTCTTCACCTCAAGTCAGATGGCAAATATTCCTTTCCTCTGCTTACTGGACACTATAAATATGCAGTCCTGTGTTTGAGAACCAACAATAATGTCCATTCATGTGTATGTGTGTTTTTACTTTACAGAACCCTGAAGGGGGCCTGTATGTGGCTGTGACTCGGTTGGCAGGAATCACTGGAATTGTTATCACGCTTTGTCTCATCTTAATTATCACCTCCTCCACAAAAACCATCCGCAGGTCTTACTTTGAAGTGTTTTGGTACACACATCATCTCTTTGTTATCTTCTTCATTGGTCTTGCCATCCATGGAGCTGAGTGAGTTTTGAACTTGGAATCCAAGGGCTTTATGTTCTTCATTTTCTAAGCAGCATGCTCTATTAGAAGCACATTGACTTCCTTGTTTGTGTGTGGTTAGCCTGTCTGCCAAAGAAATGTTAAAAGACAGCAGAAGTTCTTTTAATAGAAACCAGTCACTTTTGGTTTCTTGCTCTCAAGTAATTGTTATTTGTAGTGCAGTTAGTTATTTATAACAAGCTTGAACAGTGTACCAAGGTCTGTCTTAGCTACTTTTTTCTCATTGCTGAGACAAAACACCCAACAGTTAAAAGGGGCAAGGTTTGTTCAGATCATAGTTTGTAGAGGTTTCAGTACATGATCAATTGGCTCCAAGGCAGGGTGGATGGCAGACAGACCTCACAGAGGAGAAATAGTCCACAGCAGGCAGAAGATAGCAAAGTGTGCATGAGACAGCACAGGCTCTTTCTATCCCTTATTGCTTATCCAGGCTACTTAGGACAGATAACACTCACACTCTTAATGCTAGTGACCTTGATCCTATCACTCACACCATGAATCAATTCCACACACTCTAGATCCAGCCACCTCTAAAAAAGCCCCACCAATGACTGTGTGAGGCTTTAGGGAGATAAAGCCTATCTTTGCAAGTGTAGAAATCATACTGAGAGCAATGGTAGGGTCTGGTATTTCTATTGTGCTAGAGAATTAGACAAACTCTTGAATCAGGGGAATAATGATGAATCAGTTGAAGGGATTTGCTGTAGTGCAATCAGTTTTGATTTAAACCAACAATCATTTACTATCATTTATTAATCTACTGAAATTAAGGGTATTTCTTAGGGAACACTATTAGGAAAACTATCTCCCTGGAGATTGCTTTCTAACATTCTAATACAATAAAGGTAGAAGCTAACTTCTATTGAGCACCTGTTCTATGTCAGACTTTGTGCTAACAAATTGATGTGAAATGTTTCTTTCAGTTCTTAAAATATCTCAAGACCCTCATTATCCCCATTTTGTTTTAGACATAAAAACCTCTGAAAATAAAAATTGTAAAATATGTAGGCCAAGCCATCTCCAGCTGGAAGTGGCTTGGAGCATAGGCTGTGACAAATGTTCACATAGAGGCCTAAAGCTTGTGTAGGAGTGTGCTTGGCAGAAATCCTCTTTAATACAAAGTTTCCTGTTTTCTACTTTATCACACCACCTGACCACAAAGGCAGGCCCAGGGAAGTTCACTGGGGGATGTAGGGTTCCAAGAAAGTATTGGGAGGAACTTCAGTGCTCAAGCCTTAAATACCATGCTGAAAGCTCAGGCAGGTCTGTGGGGACCAAGAGTTGAGTGTGAAAAGGAGAAGTGTGTGCAGAAGCAGCCTTGGGCAACCTAACTTTAGTGAACATTCTTAACCTTCCTCTTGACTCTGACCCCTGACGAACTCTCTCTAAGCACTGATAAAGCTGTATGAGTGTCTTTAAATAGAGTTTAGATATAATTGGGGTAGAAAGATAGCTCAGCATCTCAGCACCTGCCTCGCAACACAAGGACCCTGGTTGGATCCTGGCACCGCACGCTGTGCCAGCCCTGGAACCCTGAGAGTGCTGTGCAGGCCCAAAACCGGGTATGGTGGTACATGCCTATAATCCCAGCACTGAGAAGGCTGAGACAGGCAGATCACTATGAGTCCAAGCTGTGTAGCAAGACCCTGTACCACATAAATAAATAAGTAAATAAATAAATAATTTTTAAAAATTAAACATAATCCAGCTGCCTTGGACAGTCGTAGAGCAAGGAAGGAATTTCTTCCCCTACCTAGTTTAGTAATTTCAACATGGAATATAGTGTCATAGATCTCCATATCCTTTGGAGCAGGCATTCAGTTACTCTAGACTCCATCTGAAGAGACTTGGCTGCTTACACTTGATAGGTGATTACACAAGGTCTCCAGAGTAGGTAACAGCTGGACCGTGATGAAAATCCAAGCTTGCAGTCCTTGGAAATTTCACATAAACTTGGCAATTAATGATGTAAAAGTTACCATTGTTAGACCCTTGCTTTGTATCTGAATTTTTCAATACATCATGACAACTGGTTGCTAAAATAAACCTTTAGTGAAGTATTATTATACTTACTTTATAGCTGAAGAAACTGAGGTTCAAAAAATTTAAATAATTTTCTTAAGTATAAGTATGTGATTTGAACCCAAAACCATCAAGTTGAAAGCAGAATTGTTTTTATCAACATGTTCTGTTTTATATTATTATCCCCCCATAACTTTAGGATAATAATATTTGCATTGAAGGTTTGGTATAAGGATTAACTGAGATAATTTTGGTTAATTTCCTCATGTTTAGCTAATAGGTGCTTGATACATGGCCTCTTCTTTAAGACCTAGAAATAGAAAATGGTCATTAATGACCTTGAATTAAAACATTCTCAGGAATGTTTTACAGCATTCCTGAGCAGTATACAGCATGATAAATTATAGTTCTCTAAACTACACTTTCACGAAGGGACTTCTACGTCTTTTTTTTCTTTTATAGTCTGAGGACTCTGTCAGTTATGTTCCTTGAGGGCTGAAGTCAAGAACATTACTTACTGAACTATGTGTATCCTTTCCTCCATCATCAACAAACTCAGCATTGGTTTATATTTTAGAAGCTGCTCAATCAAGATTTATTAAATTAAGGGCCAGGGAGATAGCTCAGTAGAATAAGCACGTGCCTGGCAAGCACAAGTCCCTGAGTGCAATCCTTGGTACCAAAAAAAAGAGATTTATTAAACTCAAGCCAATGAGCTTTGAGCAATTTTACAGTACACACTATCAGTGCTGATGTCTATAAAAATGCCACAATTTCCATAAGGTTCAGTCTTCTCAAAAAAAAATTCAGTCTATTTGCTTAATCTGGATGATTTTTAAATTCACAAAAAAAGCATTGTAGCTAACTCGAAGGCCACTTTGTATGACTCTATGAATTGGTCACTATACAAGAATGAACAAGTAGAGCCATGGAGATGGTTCAGTGAACTAAGTGTCTGCCTAAACAAGTGTAGGGACCAGGGTTCAATACCCAGCAGCACATGCTGCATCAGCCCCATCTCCAGGCACACTGAGCTGGCCACTGAGATTGAGCATGGTGGCACACCTGTAATCCCAGCACTAGCAAGGCTGAAACAGGAGGATCACTATGAGTCTGATTTCTGTAGTGAGACCTTGTACCAAATACATTTTTAAAAAAAGAATGACCAACAACAGGAAAGGTAGTCTGCCCTCTGCTGATCAAGTCCTTTGCTTGCAGGACTGTCCACATATAATGGAGTCTTTCTGATTTGCACAAAATGGGCTAGAAGTCATCCTGGGCTAGTAGTCATCCTGTTAAATTGTACTGTTTCTGTTTTATTTGGTTTTTTTCTTTATGTAGATATTGTTTGTGGCACTGGACATAATTTTTCTATTGCTCAAGATTGTTTTCTTCTATTCAATGGGGAGGATAAGATATAACTTTTAAGTGAAAAGCACAGAATTGATATTAAGGTACATAATTATGCCCAGAATCAGGACTATGGCTGTAGCTCAGTAGTAGAATGCATTCCTAGTACTGTATATGTGAGGCCCTAAATTTAAGCCTCAGCATAGGGAAAAAAAGAAAAAAGCTAAGAATATAAGATACATAGACACCTTGATTCGTTGTTAATAAATAAACTAAACTTATATTTTTCTCACAGACGAATTGTACGTGGGCAGACTACAGAAAGTTTGGAGAACCACAAAATACATAAATGTGCACAAAATATCACAGAGTGGGGCAAAGTAAAGGACTGCCCAATCCCAGTCTTCTCTGGGAATCCTCCCATGGTATGTACAACTCATTGTTGCTATTAAAATTTTATTACTAGAAATCTTCAGTGTCTAGGGCATGTACAAATGTCATGAAATTTCTAGGATGTTATTAGTGTCTACTGTTCTGTATACTTATTGACTAGAATTAAAAATTTACATTTGCCCATTATCAATGTCATGATATAAAACTTGAAAAATCAATGTTTTGGAATATGCTATTTGGATTCAAAGAGACTGAACCTAGATGAAAGTGCCACACATCATTAATGATTTTTAATAAGACACTTAGGAATTCCATCTTTAGCTGAATTAGATAGCTCAGACAAATCACTTTTAAGCAGCTAGGGGCCTCTTCATGTGTCAGGAAGTTAAGACTTTCTCTATGGCTTTTCAAATTGGGGAAAAATTGATGAGGTATCCCATTTGGCTGACTTTGGGCATTGCAAGATCCAGTCTATTAGGCATGAAGGAGACTACACAGCCAGATTGACATAATACCCAATGGCACCTCAAGATAGGATGGGAGTGTGACAAGGGTGATCAAAGGTGAAATATTTTCTTTCTTCTATAAGAAATTCTGAAGAGCCTCATTTTGTGTATGCTCAGTGTCTCTACTCCATGACAAATGCATCCTGTAATCTTCATATGCTTTTCTCTATTGGCACAGTGTACATTTTATTGGTCATTGTGCTAACAGTTGATGTAAAACTGGGCAAAATTCAACATTCATATGGGTTTCTAAGTAAGTGTATTATTTTTTCCTTAAGCATGATATGACATAAAGGTAAATTTATCATCCCATTTTCTCCTTTCTTCTTTTCTAGTCCCTCAACATGGGCATACCCTTCCTATAAACCTAGAACATTATGCAATTTTAAAATCTTTTTGTATCTTTGCTCATTAATGAACGCAACCATAAAATCAGTGCATTGCTCCCACTCAGAACATTAGACAGGAATAGAAGGCTAAAAAGAAGAAGAGTGTTTGCTTAAGATTCTGAGTTTCATCCTTAATGCCACAAAAAGGAACTATTTTTATAGTCCTCTTGTGGGCTGGGGAAAGCATTTTTCCTCGATGACAGCTAGAATCAGAACATTACTACCTTAACAGGCATCAACTTCAAAATAGTTTCTGAATATCTAGGTATACCAGATGTAATGCCAACATCTGGCTCCGTTCAGTGACACCACAGTGGCAATGAGGGAACAGATGCAAGACTGTTAAATTCCTGTCCTATTAAAATGAAGTGTAACAACAGAAAATACTTGTCTTCTTATCCAAATATTATTCAGCTTTACCTGAAGATATGGGCATTCAGTTGCTCTGACATTCCAGCAATTAGTTTACTAAACTGAAAAAAAATTAATAGAAATATCATGCATGAGAAACACTTTCTGACTTTTTCCTCATTGGAATTCATTCGGGAAAGTTATATTTTAAATTATTTTATATATATAGTCGTTTTGAGACAAAAATCTCACTATGCAGTTCAGGCTGGCCTTGAGCTCACTTTGTAGCCTGGACTGGTCTCAAACTTGCAAGGATCCTCCTGCTCAGCCTCCTGAGTGCTGGGATTACAAGCATATGCCACCATGCCCAGATTTCAAATATTGCCTTCTAACATTCTTTTGTTACTTAAGGCATTAAATTAGAAATTCAATTAGCAGAGTCCCTGGATTGATGAATTTGAACTAAAAATTTTTATATAAGCCAAAATGCTAGAAAGTAATTCCAGTCTTCTGAAGCACTGCTTATTTTGTCAAGAGGGACATTGATAGAGTCTTTAAAAATCTTTTAGTTTGTCCTCAATCAGCAAGTGTGTTGTGCAGCTCCTGTAATTTACTAGAATACTGAAGAAACAGCTAAACTCTTGCAATAAATTTGTCATCTTGCAAAAGATTAATGTCTGACTCCATACTGCGATAAAGCAATTGCAATATTGCTTTAAAATATGATGTTTCTGAAATGCAATCTTTTAGAGAAATGCTAATTCTGAAACCAACCTTCCTCTAGTGTAGGGTTACTGCAACTGCAGTTGTGACACAGAAGAAAGCTTGTAAATAGTTCCTCTTTGGAAAGTTTCATATTGTATATATAGCTTCCCAATGTAGCTAAGGAGAATATTCACTTTTACTGGATTAATAATTTATTATAATTTCAAGTATTTTTTATACATTCTGTTATAGAAGGCATTTACTTATAAATGTCAAATATTTAAGCAAGTCCACAAGGATTAACCTTACTTGCACAATTTTCTCTCCCTCAGAATGTTTTACTATTTACCCTTAATAAATCTCATTTTCATTTTTACTCTGATTTCAGACTTGGAAATGGATAGTAGGTCCCATGTTCCTGTATCTCTGTGAGAGGTTGGTCCGCTTTTGGCGATCTCAACAGAAGGTGGTCATCACCAAGGTACTGGTTGGTTTAGGGATTACTAGTAAGTCAGTGTCTAATTGGAGAAGGGAAAAATCTAAAAGAATTATTTGCCATTTGTCAGGTCTGTCTTTCTCCCATGCTTTCTGAAATGTATGTAAAGCAAAGAGAAGACCTGCAGTTGATTTCAGTATATTCAACTCAATAATCAAGTTCTTGTGCTACCATCTGTGTTAAAATGAAGCCAAGTCTTGTACATGAATCTACCTTGTGTGTGGTTGAGTCTAGAGACATACTGATGTTAATTATGAGGAGAAAAGGAAAAGAAATGAGTCTCAATTTTCAGATGGTGCAATAATCAGTGAACCCAGGATAGATCACATTGAGCTTGAAATAGTTTCCTATGTAATTTATACCCATTTTTCTGTACTATATGTATATCACCATAAAATATAGGCGCTGAAGTCCTTAAAGTCTTAAGTAAGTTCCTAACAAGCTCAAGATCCAACTTAATCTTTTCATTTTTATTTCATGGAAAAAGTAATACAGAATTTCATAATTAAATAATAGAAGAATAACAATAGTTAGTGCATTGCATATTGTCATCTTCAAAGCAGTCAGAGTACAAGCTATGGGCATAAAATATTCTCCAATTGTTAAGAGCACAAACCTTCCTTTTCAATGAACTAAGAGACATTAATAGAATAGCTAAATTTCCTATTTCTCCTTTTTCTCTTTCTTCCTTACCCCTTTCCCCATCATTGTTCCTTTTTCTTTTTAAACAATTTCTTCCCATATCCTATTAGCTATTGTACATTTTAGATCTTATTTATTCTTTCAATTTCTCATACCAGGAAGAAAATAAAATGTTTATACATGTGAGTCAGATTTATTATACTTATGAGTATGGTCTCAAGTCGCATCTATTTATCTATAAAAGTCTGAAATTTATTCTTCTTTATGGATGAGTAGTACTTTATTGTATAAAAATACATCTCTTTTATTCACTCTTCAGTTGATGGATATTTATTTAATTGTTTTCAAGATCTAGCTATTATACATTGTGCTCCTATAAACATGGGTGCACATATATCACTGTGTTATGATGCTTTTAATTCTTCTGAGGTTATACACAGCAGGGAAAAAGCTGGGTGGAATGAAATCTCTAATCTTAGCTTTTTGAGGAATATCTGCACTTATTTCCACAGTGGTTACAGCAGTCTGCACTTCCACCAACAGCAAAGAAGGGTTTCTTCTTTTCCCACAGCCCCTCCAGCATTTGTTGTTGTTGTTGTTAATTTCTTGATGATAGCCATTCTGGAGTGAAATGGAATCTCATTGCTTTAACTTGTATCTCTCGAATGACAAACGATGTTGAACAATTTTTCATATATTTATTTGTTAATTGTATTTTTTCCTCTGGGAAATGTATATTCATCTCAAATGTCCATTTTTGGATTGAATCTTTCATTTTTTGGGGGGTTGGATTTTTTTCAATTCTTTATATGTTCTAGATAGAAGTCCTTTGTCTGAAAGACAATTAGATAAAATTTTTCCCCACTCTATGTGTGTTGTCTTTTCACTCTGTTGGTGATTTCTTTTGTTGTGCCAAATGAAAGCTTTTTAATAAAAAAAAATCCAAGTTGTTGATTCTTTCAATTATTTCACCTGCAGTTTGTGTTTTGTTTAGAATTTGATCTTTTAACTCCAAGTCTACAGTGGTCTTTCCTATGTTTTTCTTTTCTATGTTTTTGGTTTTTTTGTTTTAGTTTAGTTTTGCATCATGAATTAGTTGAATAAATATCAATGGGAATTCCTTGTAATAGTTTCAGAAAACACCAAGCAAGAATTTTTGTCTAATAAAATTTAATTCAATTCAACTCAATTCAAAAAGTATTTTTCAAGGGCCGGGGATATAGCTCAGTAGAATAAGTGCCTGCCTGGCAAGCACAGGGTCTTGAGTTCAATTCCCGGTACCGCAAAAAAAATTTTTTTTTCAAAACCTTATTATGGATTATTTTCACTAAACATACAAATTCCTTTTGTCCTGAACTCTATCTGTTTTTCATTTAACATCTAGGGCAATCATATAAAATCTTTTCTTGTTGGCACTGGAAGTCTTACAATGTAGGAAATGACAACATTTATTCTTTTAGGCTCCTTATATTGTATCATAAGAGAACCCAACAGATCAGCAAATGAGCTGCCATCATTTTCCCTTTAGCAGATAAGTGATAACTAAACCAAGAAAATGCTTATCTTGAACATGCTATCAGAGAAAATTTGTCTTTTTGTAAAGAAAATATTCATTCATTCACTCACTCTCTCACTCATTCATTCATTCATTCAATCATTCATTCATATGAACAAATACCAAAAATGAGCTGCTAACTAAAAATATCCTGATAAGACTCTTATCTACTAGGAATTCTTATTTAATCAAATCCTATTTGTACTTGTAATAAAATTTCACTGTAGTAAACAGTTGGTCATCACACAAAATTGCAACATATTAAATTATTTTCAGCTTTTTAAATTATGCCTTATTACGCCTTTTTTCAAAAGGGTTATAAATGAAAACATGAGACAAAAATGTCACAGGACTGTCCTGCTACAAGGCTATATATTGTTAGATTTCTAAATTTCTGTGTAAAATATATATAAATGCTTATTCTTAATTTTTAAAATACGTTTTATCTTTTTAATCTTTTTTCTTCATATTCTGGAGAGACTCGAAGTTTAACATATTAATACTTGATGAAAAATACCTGTTCCATGTTATGCCTAAGATGTTTGATACTCAGACAGATAGTGAGGTTAAGCTCAACTGCCTGTGTTATAGGGTAATAACATCATTAAACTTCTCTTCTGGAGGGTTAATAACTTAAGTTAGCAGACCAAAAATTAAAGAAAAAGAAGGGCTACAAGGACAGATAACATTTTGGCCCTAGTCTTTCAAGGTCAGTAAGTACTCAGGAAATAGGAGAACCTGTACTGTAACATCCTATAACTCAATTGTGTCCCAAATTTTCTGATCAAGGATCAAAGAGATTTTGGGGCCACAGAGGAAAGTGATTGATAATGTTGAGTGTGCCTAAGGAGAGTCACATGGAGAGAAAACATTCTCTCAAGCATTCACAGAGAGCAAATTGGTCAAGCAATGGCCGTGACTCATCCATATGGCTGACACTGACAAAGGATCTACAAACCGAGGTACAGGGTTTCAGGTTAAATCCTGAGGGGACTTGGCTGACCTTATCAGATACAAAACTTGCATTTCTTGTTATATAGGTCTTGCTCCTTCTTGGTCTTAACCATCCAACAGAAAAGTATGAAAATGAAATATAAAAAGTAAAGCCATATTAATATTCTGAGCTGTAAAAGGCTCAAGTCAACAATTTTGGACATTCACCGTCTTACGGAAAACCCACTACTACTGTGGACAATTGAACTATATTGGTATATTTTGCTGAATTCATGCACCTACAGTATTTAAATCACAATGGAATGCCCTTCTCTGACAAAACTAACCAAAAAGGGGGATACAAATGAATGAACATTTTATATCGGTATACTCAAAATAATTAGGATAGATATACAGCTCCATTCTCTTAATTTAATAAATATAGGAGTTTGCTCTAATAGTGTTTGAGACAGGATATCAGGTCTGCATCTTGTACAATGAATAACCATTAAGACAATAGTATGCAATGTATTAATTATTGAAAATGTAGTAATAATTGATTGTGAAACTGTCTCATTGCTATTTGTTTCTCAATAATATTTTAAAAAATATTTTTAAAACTCCTTTTTTCAGAACATAAAGTAAGTGGTTACTGAATTATCATATAAGATGCATCTACATCACAGATTTTTAATGTGTTTGATATTATTTTAGGTGGTGCTAGAGACCAAAATCAGGTTTTTCCTCATTTTGAAAAAGCACATGATTTTTCACTGAACTACATCTCCAGCCAAGAACTTTTATTAGAACAATTTTCTATGTTTCACAACTTTCCACTCTTGAAAAGTAAAGTTCAGAAATATCAGTCAACATTAAATGGCTGCTATTTTATTTCTATTGATTTTTCTTTTCTGTTTGATTTTTTGGGGAGCATTGTGTTTTTTGTTTTGTTTTGGTTATACACAGGTTTTTTAGACATCTTTGGAATCATCAAAGAAACAGTATAGTACTTTTCCTCAATTTTTATATTTGATTTGTATAGATACACAATTGTACATATTTATAAGTTACAATGGAGTTATGATTCGCCATGCTTTGTCCAATGATAAAATCAAGGTATTTAGCATATCCTTCACCTCAAACAGCTATCCTTTCATTGTAATGAGATGACTAAAACTCCTCTCTTTTAACAGTTTTGCAATATAAAATATATTGGTTTTACCTGTAAAATAATCACCCAAATATGTCCAACAGAATGCCTGAACTTTTCTTTCCCATTGAACTGTAATTTAGTACCTATGGACCATGGTTACCTATTAACCATCCCTACCTACCCCTGCTTTCCTCAAACTCTGGCAATTACCATTCCTCTCTCAATTTCCATGAGATCAATTATTTCAGATTCCACATATGAGTGACATCATGCAGTATTTCTCTGTGCTTTGCTTATTTCATTTAACATAATGTCCTCCGAGTTCATCCATGTTTTTGTAAATGTGAGGATTTAACCTTGTTATGGCTGAGGAGTATTCCATTGTGTATTTGTACCACATTTTCTTTACTCATTAATCTGTTGATGGACATGTGAACTGCAGATGTCTCTTTGATAAAAAATAGTTCATTACTTTCTGTGTTGCTCTTTATTATGTTGTATTTTATTTTTTCTGTTATTTTGAGACAGGTTCTCATTATGTAGTTCAGGCTGGCTTCAAACTCACAGTGATCCTCTTGCCTCAGTCTCTTGTGTACTGGTATTATGGGCATGCAACAAAACACTGGATTCAAAACCAGCCATTTACCCACTTACTAATTGATGGATGCATAGATTGTTTCCATAATTATATCGTTTTGATTAAAGCTGCTATGAACATTGGCATATATGGATAATGAAGTTAGCAATTCATAAATGGGACCTGTCCTAGGGAGAGAGAAATGAACGAGAAAAAAATGTAGAAACAATACATGGAATTGGGCAGGCTGTAGTCATAATTCAGGACAAGAACAGACACAATAGTTGGCTTGGTTTATGATCTATAGCTATATAAGTAGATAATGGGGTCTTTTTCTTCTGTCTGTCTTCCAAGGCCTTTCCTTGTTTCTGTGAAAACAGTAAGGCCAAGAAAGAAACTAATTTTTTTTTCTATTTTACACCCTTCCTTGGCTTCTGAGAGAAAAAAAACAACCCAACAGGCTGATAACTGAGTCTTTGGTAGAGACTCAGACTGGAAGCTTATATGGCCACGTTCTTAAGAGCTGAACCTGTGCCTGGAACATAGCTCAGTAGAATAAGCACCTGCCTGGCAAACTCAAGATCCTGAGTTCAATCCCCACTACTGGAAAAAAAAAGAGCTGAACCTGTACAGAAAGGAAGAAAGTGAAATTGGATAGAAAAAAAATCTAATGCTGATCTGCAGTGTAGTTGCAATTTCAGGCTTAGGCAATCCTGCAGGGGCTCATACCAGGGTTTTATACTCCTTTGTCATTCCTTCATTGGCCATGGACTGCAACTGAGGGTAATTCTCAGTGACAGACATATCTGCTGGAGGATCTTCTACATTGGCCTTGAGATAGAGAGGTGGGCAGCATATGTCAGCACAACCTTTTATCCATATGGTCATTGAAAAGGTATGTATTTGGGGAAAAGTTCTAGAAGTTCTTTCCTAAGGATATGCCTCATTTCACAGGTGGTTACTCACCCGTTCAAAACTATTGAGCTGCAGATGAAGAAAAAAGGATTCAAGATGGAAGTGGGACAGTACATTTTTGTCAAGTGTCCCCAGGTGTCGAAGCTGGAGTGGCACCCTTTCACACTGACCTCTGCCCCTGAGGAAGATTTCTTTAGCATCCATATCCGCATCGTCGGTGACTGGACAGAGGGGTTATTCAATGCCTGTGGCTGTGATAAGCAGGAATTTCAAGATGCCTGGAAACTACCCAAGTGAGTTTAACACACATATTACAAAAGTATGTGCATTCAGAAAAAAGATAAGAATTAGCTCCTCTTCCTTAGCATCTCATTATACTATCTCCTAAGTCACAAAACATAGAGGTTATTAGAATACTGGCAGTTTTCTCTGTGTTCCTTATTGCACTTCGGGGAGCATTAATGGATATTTTTATGACTCTTATGTGAAATATAAAACACTAAAATCAAATTCTCAAATTCTTTTAAATATGTAAGGGTCAAGGAAAAGTTATATTTACTTTTCTGACAAAGTATTCTCAAATTTTAATTGTCATAATCTGAGAGCAAATGTTACATACTATTTGCTTCTCATTTTCTTCCATACACACTTAACTTGGTACCAGATATTAGTACATGCTGAAGAAAATTGTGTTGAATTGCTCAGCAAATAAATAAAAAGTAGAAATATTAAGTTAAACAAAATGTGATGATGTAGATTTACTAAAATTCTTCAATATTCAATGTTAGTAGAACTTTAAGATGTAGGATGTGTGTGGGAGAGAGAGAAAAAGAGGGACAATAAAAGAGAGGCAGAGAGGGGGACACAGAGCAAGAGCGAGAGCGAGAGTGAGAGAGAATTGTGTCAAGAGATTAAGGACAGGGAGATGGAAAGTGCCTGGGTATGTTACCAAATGTTTTCAGGTACTAAAGCATTCCCTGCTTATTTCTAATTCCAGTGTTGGCCCTAGATTATTTAAAATCCATTTCATAGAAGAAAGTGCCTCACAAATATAATACTCCAGTTGCAATTGACACATGTTGCACCATGTCCAGCACTAATAGAGGTTCCATCTTACTGTGAAGAGCAAGATATCTCTGTAACTGTCTCCTCTTCACTTCCATTCAGGATAGCAGTTGATGGCCCCTTTGGCACAGCTAGTGAAGATGTGTTCAGCTATGAGGTGGTGATGTTGGTGGGAGCAGGGATTGGTGTCACACCTTTCGCCTCCATTCTCAAATCAGTCTGGTACAAATATTGCAATAATGCGACCAATTTGAAGCTCAAAAAGGTGAGTTCCTTCAGATTTTGTAGGGCGTGGAGTGGTTGTCACTGTCTACCAAGTGAAGTCTGCATGTACTCTCAGGGCTACTTCAGGGAAGTAAAGAGGAGCTCTAGGTGGTTCCGAGAGGCAACCTTCTCTTCAAAGAACTATTTGATAAGTGAAATGTCCTTTTAAATACACAAGTCTACCAGTAAAAGTAATATAGGGTTATTGGAAATTCAGAAGAAAAAATGTCTGGGGGAGATGTAACAATCACAATACCAAAGCTGTTCCTTTGTATTGTATTGTATTGTAATGTAATGTATTGTATTGTATTGCATTGCATTGCATTATATTGTATTGTATTTTAATGGTGCTAGCCCAGAGCCTTGTGCATGTTAAGCAAATGCACTACTACTGAGCTACACTCATAGCCCCTTAGACTTTCTTTTCTAATATTTTCCCACTAGCTTGTCATATGTTTAGAAAATGTAACTATTGACTATGTACAATTGCATAACCTTGTTTTAATTAAAGAGTGTTTTCAGGGTCCACAGGTTTCATAATGATGATTTTAATGACTCCTTAACATTCCATTGAGAAGATATAGGGTAATTTCTTATCATTTTGTTTTCTGTATAGATTCAATTTTCAGCTCTTTAGCACTTGCTTTTCAAGAGCAGGGAAAGAGACATGAAGCTTTCACTTTCATTTCTGTCTCCTCTGGATAAATTTCCAGAGAAGTGTTACATGTAAATTACCTGATAGAGAACATTAAAAAAAAACCTTGAGTCAGTCCTGTAGCTGTAAAGATAAATTTTAATAGGGACATTGAACTTACCTTGAATTTTCATTCCCTCTGATCTCTTCTATGTGCAAGAGATGTGGGTAAATGATTTTTCCCCTAAGTGCTGTCTGGTGGTAGCAGGCTGGGGGTTGGGAAGAAGTTCTGCAGCAATTACTGCTAGTTTAGGTTTCTTTGACCCTCTTAGAGGAGATATAAAGCAATCTATAAAGGAGTATCCCCAGAGCAAAAGTCTGTGGGCAAACACTATTTCTATTGGCTCTGTATTTATGTAGGGCCTTTTGAGTGAAGGACATGACAGGTGCATGTGAATCAATCCGTAAAATGTCCAGAGGTTTCACAAAACAGTGTTTTTACACATTTTAAGCATGAGAAAGCAAAGTCTGGTGGAAGTAGAACTGCATATGTTAACGCTGATAGAGCCTGTCCCAATATAGTCTACTTTGTGATCCATCCCCCTTGCAGATCTATTTCTACTGGCTATGCAGGGACACACATGCCTTTGAGTGGTTTGCAGATCTGCTGCAGCTGTTGGAGACCCAGATGCAGGAAAGGAACAATGCCGATTTCCTCAGCTACAACATCTATCTTACTGGCTGGGATGAGTCTCAGGTGAGACTATGGGGCTCAGGTCCGTACAACAGTGTCCAGGACTTGCTGGAATTCTCTTCTTCTTGGTAGGTCCTGCGCCCTATTTGCAGGACACTTAATAGATTCAAGTGTGCAGCTCATTCACATTAATTCAGTATTACAACATGATATTGACATTCTGAGACTAGATCCAAAGCTATGGGGCATATGAGGGAATAAATGCCATGACTTCAACTTCATTAGGACAATACACCACGAAGTCTATGCTACATAGACAAGATTCATCACAGGGTAATGAGAAAACAAATGTGTATATATTTCTTTAATTATATTTTTATGCGGGGCTGGGGAGATGGCTCAGTGGAATAAGCACTTCTCTGGCAAGCGCAAGGGCTTGAGTTCAATCCCCGGTTCCGCAAAAAAAAAAAAAAAAAAAAAAAACAGAAAATAATAAAGGTCAAACTTTAAAAAAAATTATATGTTTATGCATGTCCTATAATATATTCAATACATTTAAAGCATTGAAACATATGCTGTAAACCCTCCATATCTGTGGATTCTGCATCTGTGGATGCAATCAATCACAATTCAAAAATATTTGCACACATGCCATGCCAATCCCACCCTCAGGGTGCACTGAACTGGCTATCAAATCCAGGTGTTGTAGTATATCCCTGTAATACTAGCACTGGGGATTGTGAAAACAGGAGGATCACTATGAGTTGGAGCTGCATAGTGAGACCCTATACCAAATACATTAAAAAAAATTTGGAAAACATATGTGTATATGGACCACGTACAGGATGTTTTTCTTGTCATTTTCCCCTAAACAATTCAGTATAACAATGAGGTACATAAGGATTAGGGAGATAGCTTAGCTTAGCAAGTACAAGGACCCAAGTTTGACCCCTGTGCCACATGCTGTGCTGGCTCCAAAACCCCAGGTATACTGTGCCAGCCGCTGAAACTGGGTATGGTGGTACACACTTGTAATCCCAGTGCTGGGGAAACTGAGACAGGAGGATTGCTATGAGTCTGAGCTGTGTAGCAAGACCTTGTGCCAAATAAAGAAAGGATTTTAAAATATTGAGGTACATAGCATTTACATTATCTAGGTAGGATAAGTAATCTACAGATTCTTACATTAAATTCTTACAGATTCTACAGGGTCTATGCAAATAATGCACCATTTTATATGTGGGACTTGAGCATCTATGGGCTTTGCTATCTTTAGAAAGATGTTCTAGAACCAATCCCTGTAGATACTGAGAGACAAGTGAGCTATGTAGCATGTGTTGTTCATAGTATTTATATAGATTGTCTAATTTCATACTATCAACAATCATATTGAGTACCTATTATTATTATCCACATTTTTCTTTTTTTTAAATGTAGTTAGTACAGGGTCTACAGGGTCTCGCTGCATAGATCGGACTCATAGTGATCCTCCTGTTTTCAGCCTCCCAAGTCCTGAGATTACAGACAGGCATGCGCCACCACGCCCAGTCTCAATTGCCCTGTCAGCACGCCCTGGGGGTAGGGCTGGCACAGCATGCAGGGGATCAAAACCAGGTCCCTGAGTCTGCCTAAATAAGTGCTTTAACCCACTGAGCTATCTGGCCAGCCCCACATTTTTATGATGAAGACCAGAACAGATTAGGTCCTTAAACTGAGGGCACCTGGCTCATAGTAAATAATTGGCAGAGTCAAAACACCATGAGTCTATACTCTTAGCAACCTTCAGTTGTTTATGATTATTTGTGGGAAATCAGTATGTACCTAGTAAAGGTGATATATATATATATATATATATATATATATATATATATATTCCCCTTACAATCTCTATCACCTTCTGGCCCAACTCAGGGTAATTTGACAATGTAAAAATCTTTTAATTGACAAGCTTCTGGAATATTGCATGCAGGTTCTTTATAAAGGCTTTATTTCTATTCTCAAGGGAGGAGTCTTCACGACCTAAGCACCTCTTAAAGGCTTAACTTGTTTTTTGTTTTCTTTTTTTCATGAGACAGGGTCTCACTATGTTTTTGAAACTGGCCTGCAACTCCCTATGTAGCCTAGGCTGACCTCAAACCTGTGGCCATCCTCCTGCCTCAGCCTCTTTAGTTCTGGCATTACAAGCCTGAATGACTACACTGGAGAGGCCATTCCTCTTAATGCTATCACAATAAAAACACCTGAATTTGAAATAGACTCATTCAAACCACAGCTGCTGAATTATACTTATATATTGGCTCTTCAACACTATGCATCTTTCACTTTACACCCTGGCATTATGAAGAATGACTTCTCATTTGTGTCTTGCAATTACTGTCTATCTTAGAAGTCCTAGAAGTCTCATAGAAATCTAGAAGTCTGTGGATCCAGGAGCACATGCCCATGAGAACTGCTACTTCTGCAATTGAATATCAAAATAATAAAACCACTTTGGTAAAATTAAAACCTATGGTGGCACATACTTGTATTCCCACTTCAGTAGGCTAAGGCAGAAGGATTGATGGTTCAAGATCAGACTGGGCAAACTAGTGAGACATTGTTACCAAATAAAATTTCACAAAATATTGGGAATGGAATTAAATATTCTCTGAGTTAAATATGCCACACCATACACAAGAGAAAGAAAGAAACTGAGTGAAAAAATCTGTAATTTTACAAGTCACCTTACAGTTCTGATATTTTCCAAAAGCAAAACACTTTTAAATTTGTTTGCATTGAAAAAATAAGTTATTTTTAAAATAATTATTTTCTTTGCAAAACTGGTCCCTATGGGATTATTCTTTTTTTTCATGTATAATTTCATTTTTTAATATTTTTATTGAGAAACAAATAGCAATGAGACAGTTTCACAGCAGATTACTAGTAAATTTTCAATAATTAATACATTGTACATTGTTGTCTTAGTGGATATTCATTGCACAAGCTGCAGATCTGATCTCAAACACTATTCGAACAACCCTCTCTATTCATTTGAATTAAGAGAATGGAGCTGTATATCTATCCTAACTATTTTGAATATACAGATACAAAATGGCCATTTATTTGTATCCCCCTTTTTTGGTTATTTTTGTCAGAGAAGGGCATTCAACTGGCATTTAAATACTGTAGGTACATGAATCCAGCAAAATATCCCAATATAATCCAATAGTCCATAATTAGTAGGTTTTCCATAAGACTGTCAATGTCTGAAGTATTTTTTTTTATTTTATTTGTTTATTTTTTTCAAACCAAATTGGTAGGACAGTTTCAATAATTAACACATTGCATACTCTCTTACTAGTGGTTAATTGCTGTACAAGATG